CACCGCCTTGCTGTGAGAGAGCGAGCGTAGAAGACCCCCCTGGGGTTCGATGTTGCACGATGCTGCTCATGGTCCCGATCCGAAACCGCCGTCACCGCATTGCACAAAGCATGGCAGCACCACGTGGTGACGACAACCTGACGATCCGCTAATGAGAAATAGAAAATAAATAAATAAAACTCTCCGGTAGCAGTGTGCGGCTGAGGTCATCAAGAACAGAGACCGTACCAACGTATTAAACTCGACTCTTAAAACGAACGAGGTTTTATTTGACAAGGTAAGACCCCATTGAGCGCCGTAGCCCTCGTCATCGTCATCGCGTGTATAGTCACGTGCAGCAGTCACGTGCAGCAGTCACGTGGCGATGTCGATTCTACATGTGGAAGGGAAACATCGGCAGGAGTCGGAGAAAAAACCACGTGATCACGAGGAGAGAGAGACGCAGACTCCAAATATACAGCAGCAGCAGCAGACGTCAGGGTCGAGAACGAACCCACGACCTCCTGACAACCAGGCGAGGGAGTTAACATCTCATAGCCTCCACGGAAACTCCTCCTCCAAGTCCGAACCTCTTAAGTTGCTTAACCCATTCTCCTGCTCCTCCACCATGCACAGTCCACGAGCACTCCTCACTCACTCACCCACTAACCCACTCACTCACCCACTCACCCACTCACTCACCCACTCACCCACACACTCACCCACTCACCCACTCACTCACCCACCCACTCACCCATACACTCACCCAGTCACCCACTCCTTCCCCACCTCAATCACTCACTCACCCACTCACTCACCCACTCACTCACTTCTTCCCCACCTCACCCACTCACTCACCCACTCACCCACCCACTCCTTCCCCACCTCACCCACTCACTCACCCACCCACCCACTCATCCTCCACCTCACCCACTCACTCACCCACTCCTTCCCCACTTCACCCACTCACCCACTCACTCACCCACATCACCCACTCACTCACCCACCTCATCCACTGACTGACCCACTCACTCACCCACTCACTCACCCACTCACTCACCCACTCACTCACCCACATCACCCACTCACTCACCCACCTCACCCACTCACTCACCCACCTCACCCACTCACCCACTCACTCACCCACATCACTCACCCACTCACTCACCCACATCACTCACTCACCCACATCACCCACGCACATCACCCACTCACCCACATCACTCACTCACCCACATCACCCACGCACATCACCCACTCACTCACTCACCCACATCACCCACTTACTCACTCACCCACTCACCCACCCACTCCTTCCCCACCTCACCCACTCACTCACCCACCCACTCATCCCCCACCTCACCCACTCACCCACCCACTCATCCTCCACCTCACCCACTTACTCACCCACTCCTTCCCCACTTCACCCACTCACCCACTCACTCACCCACATCACGCACTCACTCACCCACCTCATCCACTGACTCACCCACTCACTCACCCACTCACTCACTCACCCACTCACTCACCCACCTCACTCACTCACCCACATCACCCACTCACTCACTCACATCACCCACTCACCCACCTCGCCCACCTCACCCACTCACTCACCCACTGACTCACCCACCTCACCCACTCACTCACCCACCTCACTCACTCACTCACCCACATCACTCACCCACATCACCCACGCACATCACCCACTCACTCACTCACTCACCCACATCACCCACTCACTCACTCACCCACTCACCCACATCACTCACCCACATCACTCACCCACCTCACCCACATCACCCACTCACTCACTCACATACCCTAATCACTCACTCACCCACATCACCCACTCACTCACTCACACCACCCACTCACCCACCTCGCCCACCTCACCCACTCACTCACCCACTGACTCACCCACCTCACCCACTCACTCACCCACCTCACTCACTCACTCACCCACATCACTCACCCACATCACCCACGCACATCACCCACTCACTCACTCACCCACATCACCCACTCACTCACTCACCCACATCACTCGCCCACATCACTCACCCACCTCACCCACATCACCCACTCACTCACTCACTTACCCTAATCACTCACTCACCCACATCACCCACTCACTCACATCACTCACTCACCCACTCACTCACCCACTCACTCACTCACATCACCCACTCACTCACATCACCCACTCACTCACTCACCCACATCACTCACCCACCTCATCCACATCACTCACTCACTCACCCACATCACTCACCCACCTCACCCACAACACCCACTCACTCATTTACCCTAATCACTCACTCACCCACATCACCCACTCACTCACTCACATCACTCACTCACCCACTCACTCACCCACTCACTCACATCACCCACTCACTCACCCACATCACTCACCCACCTCATCCACATCACTCACTCACTCACCCACATCACTCCCCCACCTGACCCACTCACATCACCCACTCACTCACTCACCCACTCACTGACCCACATCAACAACAACAACCGCCATTCGCCACTAAGTGGCGGTGACGTCACCACGACGCTTGTGCCAGGATATGTGCACCTTGAGGCCACGTGGAGTGTCGAACGCCGGCTGGCAGGAGGTCACGGGGCAGACCCAGCAGGCGCCACGGGTCGACTGACTAAGATGACTGAGATGACTGGCTGATGCACCACCTGTGCCCCCTACTGTGCCAACTTGCTGTGCATTAGCCACCCGGCGCTCCGCTCGTTGTTCTGAGCGTCACTCCTCCACCCTCCGTTAATGTTGGAGGGCGACTACCTCCAACTGCCCAGTAGCGTCCTTCACGAGCCTCCTCAACAGAGGCCGATCTTGACACCGCTGGTACCAGTCATCGGCAAGTCCACTCAGCTCCACGTCCTCCTGTACCACATCACTCCATCTCTTCTCTAGCCCGCGCCCGTTTAGCCCCCTCGATCCGGCCGAACAAAAGCTGTTTCGGCATGCGGTGGCTGGGCATGCGGGCTACATGACCCAGCCATCGCAGCCTTGCTCGCCGGAGGAGCTCACCGATGGGACCTTGCCGAGATCTTTCAAGGATTTGTGAGGTCCTCACACAATCCAGCCTGGTTAAACCCAGGTTGGATCGTAGGCAGGCCAGCCTAAATGTTTCTAACCGGCGAAGATGCTCCATTAAGGCGGTCCACGTTTCGCAAGCGTAGAGAAGGGAGGGAATGACCGTGGCCGAGAAGACCTGAAGCTTAGTGTGGAGCGACAGACCAGGTAGCTTCCACACAGCGTTACGCCACCGATGAAAAGATATTGCCGCTCGACTGATTCGGAGTGAGACCTCTGCTGTTAAACTGGAGCCGGTCACATCACCCACTCACTCCCCCACATCACTCACCCACCTCACCCACATCACTCACCCACATCACTCACCCACATCACTCACCCACATCACTCACCCACATCACTCACCCACATCACTCACCCACATCACTCACCCACATCACTCACCCACATCACTCACCCACATCACTCACCCACATCACTCACCCACATCACTCACCCACATCACTCACCCACATCACTCACCCACATCACTCACCCACATCACTCACCCACATCACTCACCCACATCACTCACCCACATCACCCACCCACATCACTCACCCACATCACTCACCCACATCACTCACCCACATCACTCACCCACATCACTCACCCACATCACTCACCCACATCACTCACCCACATCACTCACCCACATCACTCACCCACATCACTCACCCACATCACTCACCCACATCACTCACCCACATCACTCACCCACATCACTCACCCACATCACTCACCCACATCACCCACATCACACAACCACATTACCCACTCATTCACATCACTCACATCACTTCCCCACCTCACCCACCTCACTCACCTCACTCACCCACTCACCCACCCACTCACTCCCCCACCTCACCCACATCACTCCCCAGCTCTGTGAGCCACGCCGAGTGCGTGGCCGTGGCTCAACTCGGAACGTGACGACGCCGCGTGGCTGGGGAGAAGGCCGAGGGGCTGGGGAGAAGGCCGAGGGGCTGGGGAGAGAGGGCGTCACGAGAGAGGGCGTCACGAGAGAGGGCGCCACGCTCGTGGAGACGGAGCCGAGTTGGAATCAGCGGCAGCGGCAGGTGGTGGTGATGATGGTAGTGGTGGTGGTCGTGGTGATGACGGTGGTGGTGGTGATGACGATGATGATGGTGGTGGTAGTGATGGTGGTGGTAGTGATGGTGGTGGTGGTGATGACGATGATGATGGTGGTGGTGGTGGTGGTGGTGATGGTGGTGGTGGTGATGATGATGATGGTGGTGGTGGTGGTGATGATGATGATGGTGATGATGGTGGTGGTGATGATGGTGATGGTGATGATGGTGATGGTGGTGGTGGTGATGATGGTGGTGGTGGTGATGATGGTGGTGATGGTGGTGATGGTGGTGATGGTGGTGATGGTGGTGATGGTGGTCGTGATGATGGTGATGGTGGTAGTGATGACGATGATGATGGTGGTGGTGGTAGTGATGATGATGATGACGATGATGATGGTGGTAATGGGGACGATGGTGGTGGTGACGATGATGATGGTGGTGGTGGTGACGATGATGATGGTGGTGGTGATGATGACCATAGTGGTGGTGGTGATGATGATGGTGATGATGATGATGATGGTGACGATGATGATAGTGGTGGTGGTGATGATGATGATGACGGTGACGATGACGATGGTGGTAGTGATGATGATGATGGTGGTAGTCATGATGATGATGGTGATGATGGTGGTGATGGTGGTGGTAGTGATGGTGGTGGTAGTGATGACGATGATGATGATGGTGATGATGATGGTGACGATGACGATGATGATGGTGGTGATGATGGTGGTGGTGGTGGTAGTGATGACGATGATGATGATGGTGACGATGACGATGATGATGGTGACGATGACGATGATGATGGTGGTGGTAATGATGGTGGTTACCTGAGCAGTGTCTGGCTGTTGGAGCGACAAGGCAAAGGCGTCTTAAGAAGCGAGATTTGCCGGTCTGGGCTCCTGCCTGCAGCCTGTGACGCCTCTGATGAACGCTCTCCACTCGAAACATTGTGATGACCGCCCGTGAACATACACGCATATACTGTGTTTGTATACACAGACACACACACACACACGGGGAGACACACACACACGCAGACGCAAATACAAAGATCCCCCGTGTAGCCTGTAACAGGCTGTAGGGGCAAGTGCTGTTAGCGAGTAGCAGCACCTATGGAGGCTACCGGCACTGCAGCACACGAGGGGGTGGGTGGCCAGCACCACGCCCGGCCGCCTTTGTCTCCCCAGTGGCGATATTTACAAATCGCACCAGGCACTCATTTGAGGCTGAATCAACTTAGGGGAGGCACCAGGATCGGTTCAGATAATTGTCTCCGGTGTTCGCCATTAGCAGGAATCAAACCCGGTTCGCCAGGTTCGTAGCGCAGAGCGCGAACCGCTATACCACCACTCCCCCACAACACTCACACACACTCACACATCCACACTCACTCACTCACACTCACTCAATCACACACTCACTCACTCACACACTCACTCACACACTCACTCACACTCAATCACACACTCACTCTCACACTCACTCACACACTCACTCACACAACAACAACAACAACCGCCATTCGCCACTAAGTGGCGGTGACGTCACCACGACGCTTGTGCCAGGCTATGTGCACCCTGAGGCCACGTGAAGTGTCGAACGCCCGCTGGCAGGAGGTCACGGGGCAGACCCAGGTGCCACGGGTCGACTGACTGAGATGACTGGCTGATGCACCACCTGTGCCCCCTACTGTGCCAACCTGCTGTGCTTTAGCCACCCGACGCTCCGCTCGTTGTTCTGAGCGTCGCTCCTCCGCCCTCCGTTGTTGTTGGAGGGCGACTACCTCCAACTGCCCAGTAGCATCCTTCACGAGCCTCCTCCACAGAGGCCGATCTTGACACCGCTGGTACCAGTCATCGGCAAGTCCACTCAGCTCCACGTCCTCCTGTACCACATGACTCCATCTCTTCTCTAGCCCGTGCCGCGCCCGCTTAGCCCCCTCAATCCGGCCGAACAAAAGCTGTTTCGGCATGCGGTGGCTTGGCATGCGGGCTACATGGCCCAGCCATCGCAGCCTTCCCCGCCGGAGGAGCTCACTGATGGGACCTTGCCCAGATCTTTCAAGGATTTTTGAGCTCCTCACACAATCCAGTCTGGTTAAACCCAGGATGGATCGTAGGCAGGCCAGCCTAAATGTTTCTAACCGGCGAAAATGTTACATTAGGGGGTTCCACGTTTCGCAAGCGTAGAGAAGGGAGGGAATGACCGTGGCCGAGAAGACCTGAAGCTTAGTGTGGAGCGACAGACCAGGTAGCTTCCACACAGCGTTACGCAACCGATGAAAAGATATTGCCGCTCGACTGATTCGGAGTGAGACCTCTGCTGTTAAACTGGAGCCAGTCATAAGCACACTACCCGGGTATGGGAAACTCTCCACTCTCTCCACAACTGCCCCATCACCGATTGGGAGTTGTGGGGGTGGAGTGTCCGATGGTACAAAATACCCAGGCAGGTGCTTAGTTTTGGTGGGGCTGATGGTAAGGCCCCACCTCTTAGTGGCACGCTCCAGTCTCAGCAGCAGCGTCTCCAACTCCTCCTTCGAATGTGCAGCTATTACCAAATCATCAGCATACATAACGTGGTTGAGCAATAGGGAGCCATCCCTTGACCGCACCCGGGCGTCGATCAGCCTCCCATTATATCTGTACCATATGGAGATTCCCCCGGTACAGCTATTGAAGGCTTCACGAACTACGTGGTCAAAATAGATGTTAAATAATGTGGGAGCCAGAGGACATCCCTGTCGCACCCCAAGGTTAACAGGGAATGGCTCTGACTCCCGGCCACGTAGTTTTACCCGGGCCCGCTCACCATCATGAAGGTCCTTAATGATCGTGAGCAGAGGGTCAGATACTCCAAAAGCACGAAGAACAACCCAGAGCCCAGGCCTACTGATGGTATCATAGGCCTTGACCAGGTCAATAAAGCAGAGATGTAGGTCTTGTTGGAATTCCCTACACCTCTGCTGTAGCAGACGGACAGAAAATATGGCATCTGTGCAGGACCGCCCTTTCCTGAAACCGCATTGGGGCTCCGCAAGCCTCTCCTCAGCGTGCCTGGCAAGGCGATGTTGAATAATCCTTGCCAGGACCTTTCCCGGCACACTGAGGAGTGAGATGCCCCTGTAGTTGTTACAGTCTGTGCGGTCCCCCTTCTTAAAAAGGGGGACCACCAGGGCATCCTTCCAATCCTGCGGAACCCGTCCAGTGGTCCAGACTGTTGTTATGATGTTCATATAGGGCAGTCTGTGCACAAACGCCGCCATCCCTCAGCATTTCGCTTGGGAGATCATCTCTGCCCACTGCCTTTCCTGGTCTCAGACTCCGGATCGCCTGCAGTACTTCCTCAACAGATGGCACCTCAGCCAGCCACTCACAGGGGGTGACTTCTTCCAATATTTGAGGCACCGCAGCCTCAGCAGGGTCATCCTCACTTTGTGCCACGATGTTTTCCTGGCTGAGGGATTTTCCCTCCCCCAGGACCTCATAGAAATGCTCAGCAAATCTGCAAACCTGTTCCTGGGGGTCGGAGATTGGGTCACCGTTTTTTCCCCTAATGATGGTAATAGGTGTGGCGCTGCAGATTACTTTTTTGATGGAGTTAAATAGAGATTTGTGATCACGGGCCACTGAGTCAGACTCCATCTCCTCAGCAACCCGCGACCACCACCCATCCTTGCAGCGCCTCACGGCTCTCCGAACCTCCGAGCGAAGGCTGCGGTAAGCCTCCTCATTCTCTGACGTGGGATTCTGTAGCCGATGACAGTGGGCCTGTCGCTTTTTCTCAACCATCCTGAACACCTCCTCTGTCAGCCAGGGTCTCTGGGGACGTCTGGACCGCGTACCCAAAGCAGCCATTGCAGCTGCATGAGTCACAGTCCTAAACCTCGCCCATTTACCCTCGACATCAGGAGGAGTCGAGGACGATGCCAATCCCAGCCGCAAGCGATGATGAAATTCTCGCTTGCAACTTTCATCAGATAACTGAGACCAGGCCACTTTAGGTTGGAATGGGGTCCTGGGTGTACACCCACCACCGGAGTGGAAGAATGGCAGGCGCATCTTACAGATGACTAGTCGATGGTCAGAGGGCAGATCAGCTCCACGGTAGGTCCTGGTGTCAAGGACATGGGCTCACTCACTCATACACACACTCACTCATACACACACTCACTCATACACACACTCACTCACACACTCACTCACACACTCACTCACTCACACACTCACTCATACACTCACTCATACACTCACAAAAAAAACAAAGATCCCCCATATAGCCTTAACAGACTGTAGGGGCAAGTGCTGTTAGCGAGCACCTATGAAGACCGGAACGGTACACGAGGGGGTGGGTGGCCAGCACCACGCCCGACCGCCTTTGTCTCCCTAGTGGCAATGTTTACACACCGCACCAGGTACTCATTTGAGGCTGAGTCGACCTAGGGGAGGCCCGGGACCGGTTCAGATAATCGTCACTGGTGTTGGCCGTGAGCGGGAATCGGACCCGGGTCGCCAGGTTCATAGCGCAGCGCGCTAACCGCTACACTACCGCTCCCCACACACTCACACACACTCACTCACACAGTCACACACTCACTTAAACACACTCACACACACACTCACACACACACTCACTCACACACTCACACACTCACTCACACACTCACACTCACACAAACACACTCACACACCCACTCACACTCTCACACACTCACACACACACTCACACACACTCACACACTCACTCACACACACTCACAGACTTACTTATACTCACTCACACACACTCACACACTCACTCACACACTCACTCACACACTCACTCACACACTCACACACACACACTCACTCACACACTCACACTCACTTACACACACTCACACACACACTCACACATTCACTCACACACTCACATACACACTCACACACTCACTCATACACTCACACACTCACTCACACACTCACACACTCACAGACACTCACACACACAGACACTCACTCAAACTCACACACTCACTCACACAGTCACTCACTCACTCACACACTCACTCACACACACTCACACACACACACTCATTCACACACTCACTCACACACTCACACACACACTCACACACTCACACACTCACTCACACACACACTCACACACACACACGTGTACACACACACACGTGTACACACACTCACACACACACGTGTACACACACACTCACACACTCACACACACTCACACACTCACACACACACTCACTCACACACTCACTCACACACACACTCACACACACACGTGTACACACACAACAACAACAACAACCGCCATTCGCCACTAAGTGGCGGTGACGTCACCACGACGCTTGTGCCAGGCTATGTGCACCCTGAGGCCACGTGAAGTGTCGAACGCCCGCTGGCAGGAGGTCACGGGGCAGACCCAGGTGCCACGGGTCGACTGACTGAGATGACTGGCTGATGCACCACCTGTGCCCCCTACTGTGCCAACCTGCTGTGCTTTAGCCACCCGGCGCTCCGCTCGCTGTTGTGAGCGTCGCTCCTCCGCCCTCCGTTGTTGTTGGAGGGCGACTGCCTCCAACTGCCCAGTAGCATCCTTCACGAGCCTCCTCCACAGAGGCCGATCTTGACACCGCTGGTACCAGTCATCGGCAAGTCCACTCAGCTCCACGTCCTCCTGTACCACATCACTCCATCTCTTCTCTAGCCCGTGCCGCGCCCGCTTAGCCCCCTCAATCCGGCCAAACAAAAGCTGTTTCGGCATGCGGTGGCTGGGCATGCGGGCTACATGACCCAGCCATCGCAGCCTTGCCTGCCGGAGGAGCTCACCGATGGGACCCTGCCCAGATCTTTCAAGGATTTGTGAGCTCCTCACACAATCCAGTCTGGTTAAACCCAGGATGGATCGTAGGCAGGCCAGCCTAAATGTTTCTAACCGGCGAAGATGTTCCATTAGGGG